AGCATTCACAATGTATAGATTTACCCATCGCTTGGTCTATTCCAGCTTCTGTTTGGAGGTTGTAGAGGTGGCATGTCTCTTTTTTTTTTTTTTTTTTTTTTTTGATGCACTCAACACAGAGGGAGCTCTTAAATAAACTCTTGTTTCTGAATGGTGGATTACAGATTTTTTTGAAAGCAGTTCTGATCGTGTGCCCAAGCTGTGAAAATAAACAAAACCTCCTGTATTTGTAATTAAATACTCCAAGCTCTTTTGTAGTTTTCTGCTGGTTATTCATACACCTAGTCATGTGCCTACATAAGCAGTTAAATTCTATTAACCTGTCTTTGCTCGGGTGACTTCATGATGTGTTGGTACTCTTCTCTAGAAACCACGCTAAGACACAGCCTATACAGAAGAGAAAAATACTCTGTTGTAGAGAAATGGCTAAGAAAAACAGTTTACTATGATTCTTGAAAGGTTAAGAAGTTTGTATTTTACATTATTCTCGTATTATTTCTTGAAAAGTGTACCTGAAGGTAGTACCTAGTCTCAGTGCTGCACAAATTAATGATTCTGACTCCACACTCTGCAAGATAATGAAGTTAATATGCATTTTAACACTGCAGAAGTGTTGCTGTAAAGTTGATATAGCTTCCATTCCCTTTACTTTTAATTTGAACATTCGTTGTTGTCTCTACATAGCAACTTTTCCATTGGAACTGTAAACCTGGCAATGCCACATGCATGCTTACTGGGGAAAAGATTTTCTTTTTTGCTTTATGTGAACCTTTAGAAATAATTATGCACTAAAGATTGGAAAATGACTATTGGCATTGTTCTCCATCCGATAAGCAGGTATGCAACAGAGAATTGATGGAAGTGTTTTACTTTGCTGACTGTGCACTGTTAATTGAACTATTTAGCAAATTGCTCATCTATGTGATGAAAATAAATAGCTGCTAAGTATATAGCATCTCATCAATATCTTCTTTTAAAAATGAATTTGCTGTATGTACTGGAATGATATCTGTTCTGTAAAGCTGATCAATACTGTTGCAGAACCCAGTCAAAATTTCAGCTTGTTCAACTCACCAGCACATAGGCATGAAGCTACAACTCTGACTGAAAAGTTACGAGAAATACAGTTACTCCCAGACTCTGATGGGTGGTGCTGCAGGGCTGGCAGGGGTGGTGAGGATGGAGACTGACTGTCCGTGGCAGCTGTTGGCAGAAGTGTCGCGGCTGTGGTAGCAGCGTTTGGTGCTCACTCTCTGTGCAAAAGGGCCTGAAAGGTGCGGATGGTCCAGATAAGGTGGAGGTATGATTCCCTGCACATACCATGTCCTTGTACCACTGTCAGGAGGTGCTATATTGAAAGAGTACAAGTCAATACTTCCGTGAGTACTTTGAGCAGGCTCTCTTACCCTGTGCTCTACCTGATTTCGTGTGTAGCTGGTTATTGCAAGTTGCTGGGAGTGCATAACAGCACTAAGTACTGGGGAGTCATTGGAAGCCACTGGTGATATGATGAGGTAAATCTAGAGTGACTGAGCACAGGATATAGCGTTAATTCTTTGGAAAACTCGAAGTGCCTTCCAAATGTGCCCTTTGGTCATAAACTGAAATGCAAAGGCTTTAATCAAGGGCAAGCACGAAAATTTCAGGGATGATGATGATTTGGTGTTCTGAACTTTGACAGTGTGTGCAGATGCGGCTTAGACTGCCATGAATGACTGAAAGGAATGGGGTTTTTTAATTATATAAAGGCCAAGTAATTAAAGCTGAATTTATACCTAGAGAAGTTGAATACTTAAGTATGTCTGTGATAAATGCATTAGAAAATATAAGGACAGTTACTCATTGCATATGGCATTACATGAGATTTAAAAAAAAGTAAATATGAGTATCCCCTTTTAGGGCAGTAGTGTTCTTCCCGTTACAACAAGCTGTCGTATGTACAATGTACCTGTCTTAAATTTTACAGCCTAAATCTTTGGAATGAATAGTTGTCAAATATTTGCATTTGGCCTAGGTTACAAACTGTCTTTCTGGCTTAGTTTTTTTGGTCTTTTTGTACAGCTTTTGTCTGAGAAGATCATATTTTAATCTAGGGAAGTTTGGTCTTACCTCAATTATGCATTTTGCTCAGAAAAACCTAGAGCAAATCATGAGAAAACTAAAATTGGAAGAGAATAATGGATGCATGAGATGAAAATCTGCATTCTTATTTGTGTTTATATTTTTGTAGTTGTTTTTGAATACTGTTGGGACCATTAGGGAAAAGTTGGTTTATAAAACGATTTTGAAAAGTACAACAGTTTATTCAGGTAAAGTACTGGGAGAATATTTGCTTTTTAAAGTCCTTTTTAGTATTATTTTTTTCCCTCCTTTCCGTCTTTCATCTTGTGAATTGGGACTAGAGCTGAGTTGTTTCTTTATGTTTTATATTTTGTTATGAACTGCGTGACGTTTTGCTTTCCTGGGCCTGTGTGGACATCTCACAATGAGACCCTTATAATTATAATTTTCTGAGAGTTTAAGTAAGTTTGGGAACTCAACCACTAGACGATATGAAAGGGACCGTACTGTAGCTTCCATGTTTGTGTTCACATACAAACAGTTTCTCTTTTTAATGAACATTTTAAAACTGTTTCTAAAACATATTTGCACACAGTTGCATAAAAAAAAAATCAGTTTCCTTTCAAAAGAAATATATTCCAGAGAGGAGAGATGCACAGTCTAATGCCAGTCACACCAAATGCAGTATTTATGTACATTTGTCTGTAGGACTGCTGTTTATGAGGTGGTTAAAACCAAATGAAAACAAACAAAGCAGATTCAAAAAGTATTTTAGAACTGAAACCTGAGGATTGTAGTTACTTTTTCTACTCCTTCCATTGTGATATTAATGAGATAAAGCTTGGAATGGTATACAAGCAGCAGAGTTTTTTGTCCTTGTATAACTGCATTGGGAATTATAAAATGTGTGTTTGTTATATAGAAGGGTTTTACTGTAGATTTGTCAAATTTTGACATTCCTTTCCACTTCTTTTCTGGGTGAGAGTAACAGAAATAGGTTCTTCTGAATTGAGGTTTTGCCCAGGAGAAAATTACATTTATGATTCTGACTGCATGTTGATTTCAGTGAGTGTAAGAGGTACTTGGGCTTCCTCTTCCTTTAAAGCACACCAGTGTCACACAAAAACAATTACATGTTTTAAAATAATTGCTGAACTGTTTCTGAGTTACAGATGCTTCTTCCTATAAATCAGTGATGAGTATATGTTCATGTTTCTTGAATAACTATCCATAAGGATTAGAAAATGCAAAAACTTCACTTCCATGTTGGGCCAGATGTTACCTGTTTGAGGCTAGCATGTAGAACACCGTTTCTGCATTTTAAAATGATGTCAAATTTTGGGCCTGCCGTTGATGTACCCCTTCTTTCAAGAAATAGACCTGCTGTAAGTTATTTCTAAATAGGGTAAGATGAGTATCACCAATATAGAAATATCAGTAATTTTATTTTCATTTGTGACTAAGTGTTTATAGGAAAATTTCAGTTACAAATATGTGTTGAAGATTTGTCCTGGTGTTCTGTAGAAAGCTAAATGCCTTAGAGCTGCTAATGTTATATTAGTGGAGCAACATGCAAATGTAAAATTAGATCTAAGTGAGGACTCCCACAGATTCTAAAGTGTTTTGGCCCTGAATAATTTGAGTATTTCTTTACTGCGTTTAGGAAAAAAAATAATTGTTCCCACTGTAGAGAATTAGGAGCTGACTGAGACAAGATATGGTTCTGCCTTTTCATGTCTGCAGTAGATTTTAGCTTGACCCTATCTAATGACATGCATTTAGGATAGCAGACAAGTAAAATAGACTTTTTTTAAAAGGAGAGTTGGGGGGTTTTTTAATAGTAAGTTACAGCCAGAATAAAAGAATCAAGGGATGAATTTGAGGCATGGGACAAAATGAGCCTTTTGCCAACAGATTGGCAAAATGAGTTTGAGTTTTACTTGGAAATCAAGCAAAAAAATGGCCCTTAGGGGGCTATGCTGTAAATGAATATCTGGTATTCAGGCTAAGTAATTGAACAGATGTGAATGCTCAGAACGTGCCTCCACTGTGTGTTGCTGAGGCTGGCATCCTTTTGCCAGCAGGCTAATCCAACGGGCTGTGTTGGCTCAGGAAGACCACGTTACAGAGGTTTCCTTCGTATTTTTTCCATCTTATTTTTACTGCTTAATCAGTCTTCTGTTCTCAGTCAACATTCAACATAAATTTTACAGACACTAAACCCACCCTCACCACCCCTCAAAGCCTGTACTGTATTTTGGGAAATACAGAAGAGGAAGCCAGGTTGTTCCATACCACTCCTTGTGAAATGAAAGTATTTGTGTACAACAGCAGCTCCACTGCACAGAAAATGTGGGGAAAAAGTGCAAGTCCTGTGTAGGTGACAATGCAGGGCATTTCCTTCTGCCAGTGCTCAAAAATATCTGTGACCTCAAAGATGTTCAGGAAGTGGCAGGAGGAGACAGGGCCATCCATTGTGTGAGGCTGGGGATCAGGACGTCTTTTGCAGATCAGCCTGCAAAGGCAAATACTTTTTATTGAAGAAGTGGAGAAAATACTTTTTAATATACTATGTTCTTTCATTTGTGGTTGAAAATTTGGATTCCAAAAATTAAGAAATGGAGAAATCTGCCATTCAGTTTAGAGCTAGAGCCTGATTTTGGCAAAGGAGCAACTGAGCATCGCCTTTCTCTCTTGAGAAAATCAGCAAAGTTCAGAATGATAAATGGGTAGCGGTAAGTGACTTTCTCCACAGGAACCAGAAAATATTGTGCTTAAATTATTAATTAACTGTTACTAAATTATATATGTATATATCTCCCTTTAAATTTATCTCCAAAATGTAGGAAGTAGGAGGAAAAAAATACATGGGCACTTTTCTTGTTTGTACGGAAAATTAACAAAAAAGCCATGTCTCATGTCTTTTTATTTCTTCTCAGGTCCGCACCAGTGTCCTACCTGATCACAAGGAGCCAAGAGCGGATGTTGGAGTAAGCATTTTTTAAATTATTATTTATTTTTTTTAATCATCTCATTAGCAGACACAGACACCCAATGAGGAGAAATACTGTACTGCTTAACTGCTGAGCAGGAGCTGGCAACAATTTACTAGCAGAAGTTGGGTACAACAATTAAAAAAAATGAAGACAGAAGAAATAGTCTCAGTGATTGGTGTAATCTCATTCACATATTTGTTAGAAATCTTCTTGAACTGGAATTATTCAGAGGGGAGCCTAACTATCTAGACTTCCTACTACTGCCATACAACCTGGATGGGATTGAGAGCTTGAAATTGCATTGCTTCAGTGAACCTGTCCTGTCACTTTCTGGTTTTCATGTGCGGAATGTAAAACTTCCTGCTGTAGGAGTAGCCTTTGGGTTGACTGTAAGAAATTAAACTGGTGACATATGGAGAACTTATTTTTTTGTGTAGGTCTGTAGAACTTTGGGCAAAGATATTGGCAAGGCTAGAACCTCCCGGACAGTACAGACACCTCGTGAGGGTGGGAAATGCTGGTCCTGCTAGAGCTGTATAAAAGACCAAACACCATCTGGTGTAGGTATCACACTATGTCCACAAACATTTAAACTAACTGCTTTTCTAAGTTTTTTAGCCCAAAGTGTTGACTTGACTGCATTACTAGGGCTTCCTGGGCACAGTGTCCAGGAGTTTAGGTAGGGTTTGAAAAATCTGTAGCTTGGCAGCAAGCTCAATCTTAGTGAAATAATCCAAGTGTTTCAACTCCTCCTATAGCTATTATAGAGACTTTTCTCTCTGGCAACCTGAGATCATCCATCAAACTACTCAAGGCACCTATCTTAAGCGTTATAATTTTAAGTACCTCACTAGCAAAATTGGAGAAGAGCATTACTCTGTAATCAGCATTACAGCTGCAATGCTTTTTAAACGCTACTTTTCACGCCTGTCCAGGTCACAAGTGCAAAGTTAGATTGGTTTGTAGACTGCCAGCTCAGACCCCAGGGTAACTATTTGGATCTAAATCAGTATGGAAAATGTATTCTCCAGCATTGTTTGCAATTAGACCCCTTGAACATTAGCATCATTCCTTTCATTTGGGTCATGGCATCATTCAGAATTTCATTTAGTTTTGCAAATAACTCCTAATGGTCTTGTCAGGCAAAGGAAATTTTATTCTGACTAAACGTTAAAATATGAAACAGACAAATAAGTAGAATTTTTTACACTTGTAAAATTACTCACCTTTAATTTCCTAACCCTGGAGATCTAGGTGTCACACTTGGAGATGGTTAGTGGGTACAGTGACCAAAGCTCCTAGATTGTATAAGAGCAGTGTAATTGCTTCTTAGCCCTAATCGTATGAGGACTTGAAATTAGGGTTCTTGAATGGTTTTATAGTTTTATTGTGCTGCAGAAAGAAGCCCAAAGTGACCCAGCCTATGTCAATTCCATTCCAAATATCACTCTTCCTCTCTGCAAATGGAGAGGGTGCAATTACAAGCCCTCAAAGGCCATGAAATGCCAGAATAAAGGCTGCTGCATGGACTTTTTGCTGCAGAATGTGCTTTGCTGGACTAAGAAGCATATGCTCTTGTAAGAAGATACCTAATCCAAGCTGATTACACCACTGTAGAATTTTAGTGAAGAAACGCTGTCTTGTTGACTGATCTGAAGGAAGACAGAGCTGTCACTCTAGCAAACATGGGCATCCACTGTGTGTCACACTTGGATGTATTTCTTGTAAAAGTACGTGTTTCGTTTTGGCAGTGAAAACTAACTGTGACCTTTTCTTGTACAGCTGCGGTATTTTTCTCTCTATGTATTTCCTGTAGACTTTTTTCCTTCCCTACTTCCTGTTCAGCATTTCCCTGTTCAGCATTTCCCACATTCACTGTTTTCCCAGCCTTCCTTAAACTCTCAGCTTCTATCTTCTTTCCTTTGCATGGGAATTCTAAGCCTGTGATGGGTGACTTAAGTTGGCCAAACTGGAGAGCAGATTGTTGCTTACTTAAGTTGAGAATTGTGATTCGAACTGTACACATGATATGCAAGAAAACCCGTATTCAGGCTTTATTGTTAGCATTCAAATACTGGATGTCCAGCTGGTCTTCCTGAAAGAAAGCAGGCTGCAGGATTTTTTTACCAGAGCAAGTTGTTCTTCTCAATACCAGTAAGTTCTCTTTTTAGCCTGAAGGGGAAAGTTGATCTCTGAATGTAGACGGTGTTGAGGCAGAGCAACTTGATTCTTCTTTAACTTGTATGTCCAAGACAATATATAATTTAACCTGGAATTTTACTTTGTCATTCCAACAGTAGAGTAAAATTAGTATAATGTTATCAAAACAAACTTGATGTACATCTTGGTGTTTTCTTGCAAAAACTCAATGTAAACTTATGATCTCATTATAATGTATTGGGAGTGAGTGATACTAAGTTGTATATTTGAAAGATAAATGGATAGAGGATAGCTGCAGACTGTTATTTCCTTTTCCATTATTCCCAGGGCAAGAATACTACCTGTTGCCAAGTTGACCAAATGAGATTTTAGCAATATGCAGTGGGATATGAGCAGAGGTTAAAAAATAACCAAAACGCAAATGAACATGCATTTGTTTTCCTCTTTGTGCTATTTTCTTGATGATGTGTGGAGGTGATTTTGATAGGAGGAAAAGATGTAGTAGTGTAACTTAAATTAACTTTACACATTCTAGTTTGATTAGCATGTTTCTCTGCCCTTGTACTGCAGTGAATAGGTCTGCCTTACGATGGAAATAAAGGAAACAAGTACTTGGAAACACTGCCATAGAGAAGTATAACATTTCTATTAAACCTGTGCTGAGCTCAATGTGAAAATATGTTCTTGGCAAATATGTTGATATTTGAAATACATACATGGTTGTGCCTAAGGCTTGAGGAAAAAAAAGCAGAGCAAGAACACATTTGGTAAAACGCCAAAAATTTAGCCTTTCTTGTAATCTAGAAACTACAAATACTGAAAGAAGAAGCAAAATGCAAATGCTAGTACTGAAAACTTTCTTGTGGCTATACTTGTTACAAGCTGTTAGTCTGTCAAGTTGTCAGACTGTTCTTAATGAAAAGATAGAGATTTCTGCCTGTAAAACCATAGTTGAAGAATTTACTGTTTATCATGTTGCAGGTGCATAAAAAAATTCTACCAGGTCCTGCATCGAACTAGTGTATTGAAATATAATATTTTTGCAGGAACCAAATAAAGATTTGCAAGTGTGAGACAAAAAAAAGGTAAAAATTGACACTTCAAAAATGAATGGAGTCATTATCTTTCCTTTCTGCTTCATTTTCTAGCGAAGCTTCCTGGGATGTACAACTTTTAGAGTAGGAGACTTGGTAAAGTCAAAGGAGCAGCAGTTGACCCTTACCCTCAGGTAAGTGTTTTTCTCTGTTGAAAACCATGTTGAATTAATAGCCCATGGCATTTTGTGTCCCAAGAAGAGCAATGAAGCTGATGAAGGGTCTAGAGAGGAACAGCTGAGGGATCTGCAGAGAAAAGGAGGTTGAGGGGAGACCTTATCGCTCTCTACAGCTACCTGAAAGGAGGATGTAGAGAGGTGGGAACCTATTTGTTCTCCCAAGTCACAAGCTATAGGACAAGAGAAGAGGGCCTCAAGTTGTGCCTAGGGAGGTTTAGATTGGGTATTAGGAAAAATTTCTTCGGCTGAAGTGTTGTTAAGCATGGGAACTGGCTGCTTAGGGAGTTGGTGGAGTCACCATTCATGGAGATATTTTAAAGACATGCAGATATTTCACTTAGTGACATGGTTTAATGGTGGACTTGGCAGTATTAGGCTAACAGTTGGACTCGATGATCTTAAACTTCTTCCGATGTAAACGATTCTCTGATTATGATTCCTTCTTGACTGTGTTTGAAGCTCTGAATTACTTCAGTTAGATTAGATGTCAACTCAAAGTGCTTCTATTTCTACCATGCACAAAGTTGAAATGAAATAAGCTGGAGCTTGCCATGTGTCAGATTAGAAAATCCTAGTAATTTTTTGGTATTAACCTGTAGAAGAATTGCAGGGAACTTGAAGTAGGGAATGTTCTTTCAAAGTTTCCTTTAGAAAGGTGCATAAGGTTCTCTATTTCATTTGCTGTGTGTGGTTTAAAGAGTTAACACTGTGATTTTCTAGTTTGGTTACTAGGCATATTTAAATACAGTGAAAATTGGTTATAGTCTCCAGAACTCATTGTTACGTGCAGCCAAACTCAAGTGGCAGTGGAGGAGTGACAATACCACTCGAGTGACACAGGGTACAGATCTGTCAGAGCTGGTGTTCAAGAACACATATTTCTTAAAGCTGTGCACAGAAGAAAAAAGACTAGTTTTCCCTGCTGACACTGATTTGTGTGGCTTAAAATGAATCAAGATACAAATCAAAACTTTTTAAAGGTTAAGAGAAACCTTTTAGGAGGTGATTTTCAGGATGAATTCACTGGACTTCATATAGCACAGGGATTTTGTTGAACTGATCTTTGCAAGCATATTGGAGACTTATCTGGGATTGCTGGGCAGGTTCGGATAAGCTCAACAGAGCAACTGCTCAACATGCCATGTTTGAACATAGGCAAAATTTTGGGATGAAGAAACTATGACTAGAAAAACCAAGGCACTGATATGTGTTCTTCCTGGGATGTTGTACATAGGTGCTTTAGAAAGTTGTGTTACATTCTGTCCTGTGCACATGAAGCCAGCCTTGATTTGGCTGAAGGTCCAAATTATAACCCATTCAGCGATGCTGTGGTACTGTCAACTGTGTCAAGAACACAAGGGGTTTTTTTGTGTGTGTGTGTGTGATGGAAACTTTTTCAAGTGTTTTGGTCTTATTACTCCATGTGCTTTCCTATTATAACAACAGTGGTCACATATGTGTGTGTATTTTACAAGGCTAAGTTCACAAAATACCTTGATGTTAATTTCTGAAAAACACACAAAATTCCTAACAAGCAGAAAACTGTCTTCTGACAAACAAAACTGAAGAGAAATTGTGAACTGCCTACTCTTTATGAAAATGTATAGCTAAATAAACAATTAACTACTTAGTGTTTGCAAGAGTCTGTTCTTAACAGAATTTCACCTTGTTTCAGTTTTGGGGGCAAACTTTGCCTCTGATTGACATTTTTGACAAATTCAGTCTAAAAGAATGCTTCTGACAGGTGTCATAATAATTGACAGAATGTGAAATTTCAGGCAACTTTTATCAGAGTATTTTTTATCTAACCCATCCAGTTTGTAAATGCAAGATTCAGATGACAGATTACCAGGTTAGTTCCAACTGAACCACTAAGCCTTGTCAGATTTGCTTTTAATTGCTATTTTTAGTCTTTTGTGTTGTCTTTGTGCAGCTAACACTGGAAGATAAGCACTATATTAGTTCAAAATAATGTGCAGATATCTGAAATGGTAGGTTTTAGTTGATTGGATTATTTTTTCTTTTAAAGAAAAAAGTCCCCTAACCTTTAAAATGTGGTATTATTTCCTGATTAGGGCTATTCAGCAGCACAAAACCGGTAGAAATTACCCACATTGCTCAATGGCAGTTTAACCAGAGCAGTCTAATAATGTGAACTTGCTTTTTTCTAATTGTCCTATTATATTAGTACCTCTCGGGAGAACAGGGCATGTACCAAGGGCTTTGTCAGGGCACGCAATTGTATATAGTTCTTGTTGATACACTTTGGATGGGACTTTACCAGGGAGCGCCTATGATTGAGATACTCCTTTGTTAGATCTGAAGAGATTTAAGTATCCAGAAATAGTTCTGTGGTGTGCCCTGTAAATATTGGTGCAATTACAGAATCTACTAAGTTTCTCCTGTGTTTTCGTTCAGTTATTATGTCTTGCTGGTGTCTTTCTTAGGTACAATGCAACAGTATAAAAGTGCTTTTAAAGGAATGCTGTTGTATTTTTCTCAGTTATTTTGAGGACAGCTGGCTGTCTGTAGTGCTGACGAACTGCACCCTACTTTTTACTCTT